CGCCATCTAGCGCATCTCTTAGAAACTAATGTTTGAAAGTTTATGCGGACATCGTATAAGATGGCACTAGTGTCTTTGCAAATTATTGGACCCCAATCTAAAGTGTGGAAGTGTACCCCCCCCCCCCCCGAACCCCTTGACTTGACCATCAGTCGCGCCCATAGATAAGAGTGTATGTACGGAAATAGATAAGAATCTCTAACTTCTAAAAAATCCTAGGATTCTCTGTCTACGGTCTCCAACGTAAAAATTTGCCGCGACAACAGCGCTGCCTGGAAGCTAGTTTATTAACTACTACTTCAACTATACGAGTACATAACTATAGGAGCCGTTCTCAGGTGGCTTTCTCGTGACGCGACGGAGTTCCACTATTTTTTTAAAGTGATATCTTCTTCAAATTTACAGCATTAATAGAGTATTTAATAAACCTTACAGAAAATACAAGTAGTACTTAGTTGTTTATGGCGTAATGAATCATGTAAATAAGATTTTAACAGGACAAACATACATTTTTTTCCTTAGCGTTACGAACTTCACTTGTGATTAAAAAAAACAATCGCCATTGATTGATTTTTTTAATCACAAGTGTAATAATCATTTTTTTTAAATTATTACAAAGAAACATGGTTTGGCTTTTATTTAAAAATAAAACAATAAAAATCAGTGCACAAAAACTAAGATAATTTCAGTAAAATATATCCTAAGCGTCACTTCTTGTTCATTTCACGTGTTTTTTTCAGTATTTACGAATCTATACACAGTGATAAAGAATCTTCATATGAAAAAATAAGTAAAATTTTACTGTTTTAGATGTGAATAATTTAATATGTTTGTATTTTATTTTATTTAATTTATTTAACAGATACACCATTGGCTTATCACTAGACATTGTTAAATATAACACAATTGGTTTCGTTCAAAATGATTCGCCTTTAAAGGTATATACAACATTCACAAAAGTAGTGCAGCTACAATAAGACAGTTGTTAACTTACTTAACTAGAACATTATCATTAATAAATTTACAAGTAATTTGATTACAATGAAACAAATGCTAAACTTGAAGAAGAGAGAAAGAGTTATAAATACTTATTACATAATCTAGCAAATTTAGATACGTTATCCGTAGGGAAAATGTCGACGTCGCCGTTGGTGGTTATGTCGTTATACGTTTGCATTAACCTATTTATTGGGGCTCGTTTACCTAAATTTGTTCTCTGGTTGAGTAAACAGAAGATTTTGGTAATCGGATGTCTTGGAATAGATCTTGGAACTCTGATACTTAATTGATTTAACAGTGCCGGTGATAGTAGGAGGCCGTGAATTAGCTTATGAAGTATTATAATATTATGAAGTATTTTAAGATCACTAAGTCGACGCCTTTTTTCTGAGAGATTCTAATTTGAAGTGGGATAGCCTAGTATTATAGTCAGCACGGTAAGGACAAGTTTGATCTTTAAAGGCTAAGTAGCTGGTAAAATTGCGCTGGATACGCTCTATTCAATCACTGTGAATTTGGTATGATGGGTTCCAAACAGGTGATGCATATTCTAGTGTACTACAAATAAGTTTGTATCATTGTTCTTCTTTAAATGATTAAAGTATTTATCCTTCTTTAAAAATGGGACAGTGAGGCTATTGAAACTTGAAGTGACGCTAAAGAAAAGTAAAGCTAGGCTTACATTTCAGATTTTTAGAACATTTTAAACACTTAATCCTAGTTAGCTCGTAACAAATATTGTGCCGTCACAATAACAAATCTTATAAAACAAATAATTTATGTGCTAAGCACCGAACACACGTTCTTTGGTAGATATTGACAATGTAAGGAACTATTTATTTTTATTCACTAAAGTCTTTATTCAAAAGTTTGTTTCAATATTTCCTACTTAAATTATTCTTATTAATTTTTTTTATTCACAATGCAATTTTTATTATTGAAAATAAATTATTTGAAAAAGTTGACCCGTCGCACAACTATATGCTTAAATAATAGGGCAGAAAATATTAATTACGGAGTGGACTACAAAGAGATTACTTACAATTTCATATTTATTTAAGAGCTATAATATTCTTTTCAATTTCTGCGCCAGTGTGCAGACTGCACACTTGCATGACATACTGAAAAATGTTTACTGAATTTTAACGTGTTTGTTTGCACCGATGAGCGACGTTTAAGCCAGTGCCAACTGGCCGAAACGTCGATGCAAACTAAGATAAAACGCAGACTGCGCCCTCTTATAAACCAAATAAATGGTAAATAGTTAATTTTGAGCCAACTAATCATTATCTAATTATATATAATGGTTCTCCAAAAGTGTACCTACCCGAGAATCACTTGTGTCGCTATTATGATTCGAACCTTAAAAATTTATTTACGCTTCAGCGCGCCTATGAGGGAAATGAAATGTGATGAGTATTTACCAAATCAGTTGCTGCACAACCTTCAACAAATCACACTAAAATACAGTTATACATACTCAGAAGTGCACAAAAAATGCACAAATCGTATCAATCGTCATGCCACGAAACTAATGTTTGGTTGCGAAACGTTAAACTAATTAGTTTTACATTAAGTAAATATACTTATTGCGAGTAATAATTTTCTCTTTACCCTTAAAATAATTACTTATTTGCCCCGACAAGTTGGACAAATGTAATCAAAAAATGTTGTTCCACTGCAGCTTAAACAGACCCAATTGTTACACACCATGCATTTCACAATTTCTCCCAAATTGAAATCTTTACGATTTTTACAGGTAAAACAAAGAAATGACCTTAACGACATTTTTCATAAATTGTTTTCTTTGTTTGAAAGTGTTTGTACTAGTTCAGCTTTTATCGGAAGTCTTTTGGCTGATGATAAATGCTCATTGTATCTGCTGATTGGTTTAAGTATTCTCATTTTTTTCTTTGACATCACATTATCTACATTTATTGCAGATGATACTTTTTCAGCAATCGGGAATTGTTTGTCTATTGGTATGTCTAGTATTTCTTGGTTCTGCAATAAACCTGTCATTACTGAAATTTCTGAGGAGTCAAGGAGATCATCACATCAATTCTGAAAATTCAATAGCATGGTTGAAATCGTCGTGATTACGATACTCGTTACAAAACTGTGGCCCTTCACAATTGATTGACACAGAATCCTGCTGAAAATCGTCCACCAGGCTATTTAAAATAAATGAGCGCAGCAAATCAGGTTCGTTGAAATCGTCACCAACATCACTCACCATAGGAATTTCACTCGTAGGACCAGTTTCTGTCACTACAGGTGCAGTAGAATTAACTGAAATACTCTCTCGAATAAAATTGTGTGATTTAGGAGTATAGCAATTACAAAAACCAAGTGTTTCTCCACAAAAACAACTCAGTTGCCTGTATCGGCTCTGGTTTTTTGATTAGTGGTAATTTGGTGCAACTGCATTGTTCCAGGTACCGCTACTAAATTATCTGAAACAAGTCTTTTGAAATTCTCAATGTCTTGTTCAGGTATAAAAAAAAACATTTTACTAATGTACCGCTCTTTTGTAAAATGTTGTACGCATCATTAGCATTCGTTATGTCTTCTCCATATGAGACTCTTTTGTCTAATGTTCTCTTTATTGAGCCACCTATACCATCGGCTATGCTTTTTCCATGACCCGCTTCTGAAAAGGACCATGTCGAGGACACATGTAACTTAGCAGCAAATAAAAGTTTTTTTTGCCTATACTGACTACTAGGCCCATCTGAAAAAAGTGTATTTTGTTGAACTGTGTTACCATATTTTTGGAATGTCTTAAAACTGGCATTAGATGTGCCCAAATTGCATGCGGTTCGTGGCAACTGTTATTAGACACCGTAGCAAATGACCGTGAACTGTCTTTTGAAAATATCGTGCCAGTGTGTAACGTAATTGAGTTTTTTGATGCTCCAAAATGAGTGCATTGAATTTCTTGTCCATATTTGCCCTCGTAATTTTCAGAGAAATCACATATAATAACGATCTCATCGTCTTTCAAGTTATTTAATACAACTTCTGTACTGTCTTTGCTGTTCTTTCCAATTATAGTAATGGGTTTTAAAAGGTTGCATTTATTTTTCTAATTTTGTTAGTGGCTCATGGATACTTCCTTTCATCTGCTGTTTAACTGTCTTTTTTTGTGGTTAACTGTTTTCCAGCTTTCTGATAAGTGTGGCTGATTCTGGTCCATCTGCTCCATGCTATCTCTTCTGATTTGATGTTGTCGCAATGTTGAATAGATATATTTTTGCACTGCTCGCATTTATTATACATACATGCATAAGATTTGGTGTCACATGTAGAAGCGGCTAAGAGCTCTTCAAGGTTCTTGTGCGTTATGACACCTTTCTGTTTAAGAGCTATAAACATGAACTCTATGTTGCTATGTTTAATACAAAGGCATGGTTCCCTTCTTTGTGCAGTTGAAGATAGTACATAATATGGTCTGTATCTACAAAATGTCGAGAAGCTAATTTTCCCTCCTTCGTTTTTATAAACTCGATATAGATTTTGCAAAGTATCTACTAAGTAACGGATTTGTGTCTTCTTTTTTCCTTTTGTCCTTGTTTCTCGTTTTCCTGCGGTCATTCTACTCATATCGTCTCGATTAAAAATACCATCTAAATTTTCTACAATTTCTTTTCTGACACTTCTATTATTCTTCTGTCTTATTCTAATGGGATATTTAAGGCCGAGAATTTCTGCTTCAGATTTCCTGCTCAATTTCTTTGGCTGTGTTTGGATAGCTACTTTAATTTTCTGTTTTTCTTCTAGCCGATTAACATTTTTATATAAGTTTTTAACTGTCTGTTCCATAAATTCCTGTCTTGCTTTTACTATATCATTTTCAGTTTGCAACTGTTTGATCGTGTTTTTCGAGTACTGCTTTTGACGACTCAATGTCTTTCGTAGTCTGTTAATAGTCTTTTTATACTGGTCTACTGCTTCTAAAGTTCTTTTGTGTACCGTCATTAATTTCTTGTACCTAACTATCACAGTATTAGCAGTATTTCTGGAACTATTAGGTGTTGATGCAGTCTTTGAAGTTGATGATGTTGAAGGCTCGTCAATATTATGGTTTGGTTTATTTTCAGCTTTTTTTCTCTGTGACTGTTTTTCTTTTGTTCTATCCACTTCCTTCTTTGCTCTTCTTTCTGTTCTTCTGTAAGATCTTTAATTTTTTTATTATAATATGATTTCGTGCGGTGAGATTTTTTGTCTCTGTGTATTTTTAGTTTTTCTTGATCTTTTTTAATTTTCTCATGGTATCGCTTAGCTCTTGCAGCAGGAGTAAGTGCCATGGTAGTATCTAAAATGAAGAACGAGTTTTTGAATTGAGTGTTTGTTGAAGTAAGATGCAAATATGGTTAATAAACGACGATCCTTTGATCGCAGTTCAAAGTGTTTATTCATAATAACTGGTATAAATATAATATGTATTTAGGATTAATTCCGTCCAGTGGTGCCTCCTTTTGAATTATTGATCATCATCATCATTACAGCCCTTCACAAGTCCACTGCTGAACATAGGCCTCCCCCAAGTAATGCCACAAAGCACGGTCCTGAGCCACCTGCATCCATCGACTTCCTGCATGTCTTACCAGGTCGTCACTCCATCTAGTGGGGGGTCGCCCTACACTACGCCTACCGGTACGAGGCTGCCACTCGAGAACCTTTCTTCCCCATCGGTTATCGGTTCTTCGAGCTATATGGCCGGCCCATTGCCACTTCAGCTTACTAATCCGTTGGGCTATGTCGGTCACTCTGGTTTTACTGCGGATATCCTCATTTCTGAGTCTATCACGCAGAGAAACTCCGAGCATAGCCCTCTCCATAGCTCGCTGAGCGACCTTAAGCGTCCTCATACGGCCAGCAGTGAAGGACCACGTCTCAGATCCGTAAGTCATAACTGGCAACACGCACTGGTTGTACAATCTAGTTTTTAGAGATTGAGGTATACCTGACGAAAAGATATGCCGTAATTTCCCGAACGCTGCCCAGCCGAGTTGAATCCGTCGATTGACCTCTCGGTCGAAGTTGGACTTACCTAGTCGGACTATTTGTCCCAGGTAAACGTATTCGTCAACAACTTCGAGCATAGTGCTCCCAACAACTACCGGCATAGGTGTGACATGGACATTGAACATGATCTTTGTTTTGTCCATGTTCATCTTAAGACCTATCCGTTGGGAGGCACTATTGAGGTCATTGAGCATAGTGCTTAAGTCCTCCAGCGATTCTGCCATAAGGACTATATCGTCGGCAAATCGAAGGTGAGTGATGTACTCGCCATTGATGTCAATACCGTATCCTTTCCAGTCCAGTAGCTTGAAAACGTCTTCCAATGCAGCGGTGAAGAGTTTCGGGGATATAACGTCACCCTGTCTTACACCTCTCTGCAGTTGGATAGGTTTCGAGCTCTGGTTCTGTACTCGGATAGCCATCGTAGCCCTACTGTACAAACACTTCAGCACTTCGATATACCGACAGTCAACTTGGCACCGCTGAAGGGACTGTAGCACCGCCCAAATTTCGACGGAATCAAAGGCTTTCTCATAGTCCACATACGCCAGGCAAAGTGGCAGATTGTACTCTTCAGTCTTCTGTACAATCTGCCGCAGGGTATGTATGTGGTCTATGGTACTGAAGCCTTTTCGGAAACCGGCTTGTTCGGGAGGCTGGAAGTCGTCAAGTCTGCGTGCGAGACGATTCGTAATGACTCTCGAAAACAGCACGTAGACGCGGCTCAGAAGGGAAATCGGTCTGTAGTTCTTTAAGAGAGCGTTGTCGCCTTTCTTAAAGAACAAGACCACCGCACTTCTGCTCCACGCCTCTGGAGTAGTGCCACCATGGAGGACGGAATTGAAGAGCTTCTGAAGGACTTCAAGTACCGGTGTTCCACCCGCTTTCAGAAGCTCCGCTGTAATTCCATCCTCGCCTGGGGCCCTGCCGTTTTTAAGGTGCTGGAGAGCCATTCTAATCTCGCTTAGACTGACGTCCGGGATATCATCGGAATAGTGTCGGATAAGACTTGCTCTTGGATCGTTACTCACACTTGCGTGTGGCTCCAACGATGATGTGTACAGCTGCCCATAGAACCTCTCAATCTCACTCAAAATCTCAGGTGTCCCGGAAACGATGTTGCCACACTCAGTCTTCAGCTTTGACAGTTGGCTCTTTCTGGCAGACAGATCTCTGGCAAAGACTTTGGAGCCCTGGTTCCGCTCGATCGCTTCTTTAATACGAGAAGTATTAAAGTTGCGTAAGTCTCGCCGTATGCATTTGGAGATCTGTCTGTTCAGTTGCCTGTATGCTGTCAAATCTATTGACGATTGCAGCCTCATCTCCCGTCTAACAGCCATGAGATTAAGAGTGTGATCGGAGAGTTTTTGTGTTCTTCTGCGGCGGGTCTTGCAGAACTTAGCTCCGACCGCATGGACAGTTTCCACGAGCTTGTCGTTCATATCGTCCACTGCATTGCAATCTTCTAGGCACTGGAAGCGGTTACGTAACTCGAGCTGAAAGGTTTCGGGATTCTGGATTAGAGCACGAGGGGGACGGAGCGTTGACTTCATTAGACGAGACCTCTCCAACTTAACGTTTAGGTTCAGTGTGCCTCTAACCATTCGGTGATCGCTGCCAGTTTTCACCCTTGCGATCACTGAGACATCACTGAACAGTTGGCGTCTGGTCGTCATAATGAAGTCAATCTCATTTTTTGTCGAACCGTCGGGGCTCGACCAGGTCCACTTCCTGTGGGGCCGCTTCTGGAAGAAAGAGTTCATCATAAAGAGTCCCTCTTTCTCCATAAAGTCGGCCAGCTGCTGGCCCCTTCGGTTCCGTTGCCCTACTCCAAATTTCCCTACCTTCAGCTCACCGCTTTCTCTTGTGCCCAGTTTTGCGTTGAAGTCTCCCATCAACACCGTGTAGTAGGTTTTGGAGGAATGTATGGCTCTGGAAATATCCTCATACATTTCCTCCACCTCCTCATCGGGATGTGCCGAGGTTGGTGCGTAAACCTGAATGACCTTCAGCGAATACCGTTTGGTGATTCTGAGTATCAGGTACGCGACCCTCGTCGACACACTCCCAATCTTTACAACGTTGTTGACGAGAGATTTGTGGACGATAAATCCGACACCTCCTTGGGACAGATGGTCGCCCTCCCGGTGATAGAACAAGTTGCCGGACTCGAGGATTGCCGTGTCCTCCCCCTCTCTTCGGACCTCGGATAATCCAATAATATGCCAGCGCAACTTGTCTACCTCTTCTTCCAGCTCCAGTATCTTCTCGTCAGTCCTCAGGGTGCGTGCGTTATATGTTGCCAGGACGAGTCGTCGTAGGTGGCAACCGAACCTCCACCGGAGATTCTTAGCACCCCCTGCCCCGCCGTTACCATGGTCGCCACCGTAGCCAGGAATAGCGGGGCCGCCGGGGACTGGGGGCCGTCTGTTTGTGTATTTATTCATTGGGGGGTATTTGCCATAGTTGCCACGCTTGGCGAGCGGGTTGGCAACCGCAGTTTTTTATTACGTCACAGTTGTCATCAGGAAGACGCTGCTGCCCATCTCCTGCCTGTCTCCCTCTGTCGCCTCTTACGACACCCACGGGAAGATATGGGGTAGTGGATATTCTTAACCGCCACTACACGGCACATTAATTATTGATATTTCTTCTTAATTACTACTTTGATTTAAGACGCTCAGATAGTATACTAGATAAATACATAAGCAATTTTTTTTTTCATAAGTTTATAAATTAAAAAAAAAAACTATATATTTATAATATTTAATACCGTTTAATATATAACATAAGATTAAAAATTAAAAGTTTTCTTTATTGCGAAAAACGGCCACTTAAGTTTTTAATAAAAAATTATTTGAATTCATCGATATGAAAGCTATTTAGATAGAATTCATTTTTTTATATGTTTAACTGATGAACAGTTCATCAAAAGTTATTATTGTGATTAAAACAGCAAAATGATAATTTAATAATAAATTCACATGGAGGTGCCACTGGACGAAATCAGCCTTCTTAAGCTAAAAAAGAGGATCTTACTGAATGTTTTAAATCATTTTTAGTTACCAAGGACTATAATTAATTGAATAACTTGATCAAATACAAATTAAGAAAAAACTTAATAATAGTATCATTACCTGCAAAATATTAAAAAAAAAACTAATATTTTCATCATATATTAAATATTAATTCAAAGCGATGAAATTAAAAATATATTTTTTGAGGTTGGCGCCAGCTTTGATGTTTATAAGGTATTAATTTTTTTTTATAAGTGCTGAAACTAACCTCAAAAACATCACTGTTAAATTTTATTTTCAATCTTTTTTAATTCATATTACAGTCTGTAAATTTACTTAACCAATTTTGATAAAAACCCTGTTCTCTGAGGGACCATCCCCACGAGCGAAAGAATCGCGGCGATGTTATCGTCGTATCACTTTTTCTATACACTCTCCCGCCGCGATAACTTCGCCGTACACATGCAGCGAGTGTATAGAAAAATTTGTCCCGACGATAAAATCGCCGCGGTTCTCTCGCTCGTGGAGACAGTCACTAAGTTAAGACACATCAAAGCTAATAAAAAAGAAGCATCAAAATGCGTTCAGTAATTTTTGCAGTAAGTATAATTATAAGCATTAACATAAATCAGCTCACACGATTTTTTAAATAAAAATATCTGGTAACTAGTACCATGTGAACCAACCTTTGGTGTTCCAAAGTGTCACTTTCCTAGTCCTTAGCGTCACTATTCTGATAACGTGACGCTTTCACACTTTCATTAATGTTAAAACAGATTTCTACATATCTATCAATTATTTGTAAATAATGTGCATATATTCTTTATTTGTGTTACCACAGGATTCTCATTACAAACATCTATAGAACAGTTCGCTGCTTTGCACGAATAACCGCACAATCCAAAAACACACATTTTACAGGGTACCTAGCTATTTGAAAATTAAACAAAATATTTACTGTCATAACTTTTCATGTTTTTAATCATTAGAAGAGTAGAATATATAAATCGAAAGCATATTAATCAAGGTTTGATTATAATCTAAAAATTCAGGTTTTGAGCTGCGAATACATTAATTAATAATTAAAAACTATGACTTATTCGACTTGTTACAAAATGACTTTTGGTATATTATCATGAATAGGAACATAAATTAAAATAATACATATGAATAGTTCTCAATTTTAGTTTTACAATGGCATAACTGGTAATATGATCTACAAGATATTAAAAAAAATCTGTAATAATGACACAATTACGATAAAGATAATATTAATGAAAAGTGTGTTCAAACACAAATCAATTTATTTGTTTTATCCTGAATCCTTCGGAACGATTTTTTCAGTAGAGTAACACATTTCTCTTTATCATATTTAGAGATTAAACAAACCTATTGAAGTATTTTTATTATTATTTATTTATTATTATTATAGTCCACATTTTATTACAATTTGCAGTATGTCTATTACTGTCATCAAGCTACCAGTACGCAGATTAAAATGATCACGTTAACATTAAAATATTAGGAATCACAAACATAAAAGAAATCGAACCAACAATACCTATCTATTACGCTTCTTAAAAGTAATTAGGAAAAATAACATTATGAACCATGGACATAAATAAAATTCTAACAAAGTTTTGCTTTTTAAAAATATTTAGGAACATTATGAACCATAAACACAAAAAAAAAATCAACAAACTAAAAATAATTAGGAACATGATGAACCATGCTTAAACACAAAAAAAATAACAAACTTGTGCTTATTTTAAAAATAATTCGGTTAATTAAAAACAATAAACAAAAAAATCTATCAAACATTGGACAACTACCGCATAATCAGTCTTCTTCAGGTACACTTAATAATAAAAATTAGAGATTCTCAAAAAACGGTTTATAAAATCTTGGTACAATATTTTTCCTAATAAGGTCTAGCAAACCCTTCTTCTTCTTCTCACATATTGGGATTTTTTCTCTGTATGCCTTTTTAACAGTGATATTATTGGCAGCGTTTCTTGTCTTACCAATTTTATCTATCATGACTGTTTTAAACTCTGTGTCCTCGTACGATGTTTTATAGGAAAAACAGTAATTAGAGTCATTAGATTCCACCTTTAAAATTTTGACGTCTCCTAGCTTTAAAGTTTCTTTGTCCATATTCTTAGAAAAAATTTTGCCTATCGATGAAGCCAACGCTTTTATATCAAAAAAAATCTTCGTGTAAGTATTAATTAATTTACTTGATAGGCTTTACCAGATTTTTTAGCATTTCTTATAATGTGCACATACTGGTCAGGTGTATATATGGGTCCAGACTTTAGAGCTTTACCTACTCCTCTTTCAATAAGGGAGTGGACATTATCACCCTCATTTTGAGTGTGCCCTTTTATTAAGTATTTGTGGGTTATTGAATTAATAAAATCGAGATGGTAAACTGCATATACATAAAGAGCTATTATGTTCTGGTTCTTTTGCTGGTCACAGCAATTGTCGGAATAAAAAACTATATCTAATTTTGAGTCTAGTTCTTCAGCTTTAAACTTTAAATTCTGTATGTATTTAAGCAAACAAGATCCTATTTCTATAGCATCGCGTTTAGCTTCACCTTCATACCAGACATAACATGCAGTGTCTTTAGATTTGATATCGCGTATTGTGAAATTATACATATATTTAATTTTGATACGTAATAAAAATTTTGATGCATCTCCTCTAGGACAAGGCATTGCAGCCTGAAGATCATAAACTGCTACAATACAATTATCAGGAGTAAATTTTTTGTCATCTTCTTTATTTTGCCTTGACACATCCTTCTCTTTTAAATACCTATCAAACTTTTCTTTCAGTTCTACCTTATCGTTTTCTGTGGCATTACTGTATGATGTACAATTCTCACACTGATCTTTTTTTGGTTGGAAAAAGCTAATGTTGAACTCGTTGTTGAAGATCCTGTAATACATAAGGTAATTGGCGCTTGGTAGACTTTTTGACTGACAGTCGAGTTCGTAATCCCTATGTAAGTCTGCTACAGTTTTCCCACCATCAATATAAAGCCTTTTTTGTGTCTGCACGACAGTAGTGACTTTCAATTTTTGGAATTGAGTTGATGTGTTGAATTACACTTTCTTTAATAGCCGGATCTAAATGGAAATGTTGACTGTGTTTGCCACGATTATCCAAATCTAACATGCCACATGAATTCTGCTTCTTTTGAATAACAGTTCGGATAAAGGCATCAGTTATATCTAGCGTAGCTTTAAAAAATACTTTACACACTCGAATTCTCTCATTATCAATTGTCAAATAAAAAGCTTTGTTTTTCCCTCGGTTACTGTTATGCATCTTGTATGAGTATCGTGGTTGAATGACGGAAAGATGGCATAAAATAAACTCCCATTGCCTTTGCAGATCTCCCATGCCCCAAAAGCTTTCAAAAATTTCTTTGCGCTGTGATTCTGTAATGTTTTGTGTACATTTTTGTTTGCATTTATCAGTACACGGTGTTTTGAGAGACTTTGCAGGCACAACGGTTATTCCCTTTTTTAGAATGGGATATATAGGACTTACCAGAGTTTCTTAGGATTTTTGCCTTGTTACGCAACCAGTTATTGGGTGTAGATTTTCTTTTCCATCCTTTATTCGAGCTGATATTATCGTTACAACCAAATTGTGTAGAATTGGTATCAGCAGTAAGTTCTAAAGAAGTTGGAGGTGTAGAACGTGAAGTTGAAGCTACTGGCTCAATCGAATCATTGCGAGAAATATCTTCTTCGATGCAGGTAGCTCTTGTAGGAAATATGTTATTGTCTACCCTAGACTGAACCACTGCTGTTAAACGTTCATTATTCAATTCATCGTCTGATGAACTCTCGGAATCTGAGGAACTAGATCCATCGCTTGAGCTGGATGAACCAGATCCATCGCTTGAGCTGCTACTAGATTCTGTTTGCATGGGGGCTATCGGCATAGGTATAGGTGAACTTGTTTGGTTTATGGTGGAAACATCGTTACTGAAATTGTCATATTGTTTTTCATTTAAATCTACTCCACTCAACAAATTTTTAAAAACTTCTCGGTTTTTATTTTTCAAAAGAGACCTCTTTGTAGAACAGGGTGTATCGATATCTACATAGTCATGATCCTTCACACTATCATCTGAGCAAAAGTCTTCACTAACATTAGATAAATCTTTATTTTCAATATTATCGTTAGGCTTGGGAGATAAAATGAACTGTTCCTTTTCAGTGAATTGTATGGAAGTTGAAGTCGTAGGTATTTCATTCTGTATAACAGATTTACTATCTTGTTTGAGATTCCGGATTATTTGTAGGGTACGGGGATTCGGCACTGTAAATAATAAGAACATTTCATAAAATAACGAACCACGCCATACTATGCCACACCACACCGTTCAGTCCTATCATACTACAACACAACACTACATAGCATCATGCCTGTAATACCCGAAGCCGGCTATGTTTTTTCTGCTGTTCATCGGTTATAATTTCTAACGCCGAGTTGCTAAATTAAGAATGTTCTAAATAAGAAATGACGATTACCCCGTTTGCTGCTTGAACCAGGATTCGAACCCGGGACATCGCGGTTAAATAAGCCACGCAAGAGGCAGCAAAAAATACCAAAACACGTTATAATTACATTATATCGTTAAAAGTAACTTAACTTGCTTTCTGTTAGAAATTGTTTAGCTTTATTTTTAAGCAATAATAACCCATTTCATAAACATGTTAAAAGATTTTGTTGTTTCTATCTTGAAGAAACAAATAAAACTTAAGAAGTATTATTGTCTTACTTTTTCGTGAAGAATGTTGTAGCACTGAATGCAGCACTTTTTAACAAAAAAAAATGATTGAAAACAGTCACAATTTTAACTTAAATAATCAATCAACTCAAAATGAATGAATATTGCAGAAAATATTACTAAACTTTACAATTTAAACACACGATTATTTGGTATTGTGTTATTATTCCCGAAAGTTTTGATGTGGACACGCGAAAACAATAATAGCAACTGGCGATCGTCGACTGTTGCACAAATATAGCGTGATAAATCAACCAATCACATAACGACATTTTTACGCGCCACTACGTCAGTTTTGCCGTTATGAATGTGAGTCTTACTGACCATAAAATACGGACTATTTTGCAAGTGACTGTGTTATAAACCAGTATTTTAAATATTTTAGTTTGTGCGGTTATTCGTGCAAAGCAGCGAGTTAACAACTCTTACCTTGCTAAATCCGAAACGCTAGCGGAAAACTTTTATTTCAAACACCGTGACGCGACCAGACGCGACCACTCGGAATTAAATTAATTTTTCACGCGAACTGATGACCATAGACTAAATATGACAGCTGACATATACCTTGTAAGTGTTGCTAGTTTAGATTTAAAAATCTACATTAAGGAAACGTTTCTTGCAAAATGTTGTAAATGCCCGTGACGCCTATGGGAGTTCCGCAATCAAGATTTTGGTGGACAAATGAAAAAACCCGATTTGTTTATTAATGATTGAAACTACATTATTTAAAAGATGTATTATAAAAGAGTTTAGTATAGTAAATTAGAAAAATAGCACAACAGATTTTACAAAAATAAGGAATATTATTAATATTAGCTTTGATCATGTCAGAACACGATTGTGACATTCAGAAAAGACGAGGCACAAAGTTTCAATTAATTCATATTTTTAGTTCTAACGTAAGCTAATAGTAAGTTTTTTTTCTAACAACATAATAACATTACTTTTATCAAAATAACAAGGATTTCCTATGAAATGATTATTAGTTACTCTAATTTAATTATCAAAAGTAGTTGGACACGTCATTTTTGCAATGAGCAACCCGCCTGAGAATGGCCCATATATATTATAACCCTTATTCAAACGCCAGCCCCTGAAGGAGTTGCCAAAAAAGTAAGATCCATTTCTGAGTAATTATGGGTCGCAGATTTCAAAAAATTTACAAAAAATAGGGGTAAATGTGGGGGGGGAGTACTACTTTTTTGGTGGGAAGTATATATCCCGATATCTGTCCCTGCAAATTTCAAATTAGAAAAAAGTGGCAACCATAGCTCCCATTGTCCAATAAGACATTAATATTTTATAACACTAGTTAGTTGCCCCTGCTTCACTTGGGTAATAAATTTCAATGCTCAATTTTATATAAAACGTGATTGTTAACGTAAAAAAACTCATCAATGCAAGTAAGTTTATACCTTTTACCAAGGAAAGAACTCCAAATTAAAGAATGGGTACCACAGCAACTAATTATACTTTTGCGACTTTATAGATAGGTATTTCTTATAGATAGATAGATAGTAAGTTATTTGTACTGATGAGTACTAGCACTTTTGGCTCTCGGTTAGTGATGTAATAATAGATTTTTTTTATTCATATAATTTCACAAATAATCTTGTTACGTATTAGGAACTCTTTTATCTTTTAGATGGCTGATTGACTTACTTGGAAAAATTACGACTCGAGTTAACTCAAGTTCAAATTCACACAACTCGAACTAAACTCGAGTTACGCAACTAGAATTAGCGGGACGAAACACAGTAAATGATTTGTTACAATTACTTTAAAAATATCGATTCAATATATATATATTTTTTTTTTTTTTTTTTTATATATTATATACTTTTTTCACTTGTCCATCCCTATGACTGAGTTAGGGCGTAAAATCAGGGTAGTGTAATAACTGACGTACCTAACCAGGGGCCACGCCCACCCTTTATTCAGGGCCCTAATTCAGGGTGGTGTAATAGGGGCATTAACGAATCAAAGCTCTGTGTTTATGGCCACGTAAAACTTATAAAGCTATTTAAATTGTCATTATGTGGTCTATATTGTCAGGTTAATAAAATAAAGTAACGGGGATATGCTTCAGAGTAATTACATACATGGATTTGTCGTCTGTTTTTCTCTCATTTATATAAACGCTATAACCCCGTCATTGATTCTAGGAGTGATCAATATTAGGTTCGCTTTTGTTGTTCACATATGTATTTTGGAAAAAGTCCCTTTGTAATAAAAGTAAAAGTATTTTTTATTTATTATAGAATAATTATTATAAGTCACAAAGAAGAGCACATTTACTTTCAACTAAGAAATATCTATATTATCAGCAGTAACAGTTTTTAAACAAAGAATTTTTTACTTAAGAACTAGCAACGAAAAAATTAAACGGTCAATATTTGTAGGTTAAAGAGACCGCATAATTCTAGTAGGTGTTGTTTGTGTTTATCAACCTTTTCTGTTATATTCTTTTTTCACTAAACATTTAACATATTTAAGTTTTGTTTAAACATACCTTGATCACCTCATGATATTTCAGGTTTTTGTAAAAGCATTACCGTATCATCGTAGTTTTTCTATAGGAATTATCGTCCACGTCCGGATAATGAAAATAAACTGACCTACTACTTTTTACTTTTCTCAAGTAGGTATTTCACATTAGGAATATTATCCTCATTTGTAGAAATGACATTTGCTAAAAAATATTTCACAGATCTTCGTTCTAAACTTTACTAATACCCAGGCTAATCATTAACTGCCGGATTTCTTCTACTCACATTTGATTCAAAGCCATCATTTTCAAAATTATTTTATGAAGAATATTTGTCCTTTTTTTTTCATAAAAATTACATTGTTCTGACAATAGCAATTTTTTAGAATAAACAATTTTTTTCTGTATTTTCATAATCCAAATCTTCATCAGATTCGGCGAAAGAGCTAGCTCATCCCCAGACTCAGCAAAACTTAAGTAAGTGTCAACCTCAGATTCTTCTTCACCACAAACTTATTGATCTACTCTTTTTTGTTGAATTCTTTTTAGATAGGTATTATTTTTAGTCTTTTTTTGCTTAGATGACTATGCTTCTGTTTCTTCGCTATCATCTTGATACTTGTAAGGCATTTTCTTAGTTTTTTTTCTTTGTTAATTCTTCTTCAAATTTTTTTGCTACATTGAGTCTGCTTAGTGCATCTGCATTTTATTGTGTTGCTGCAGGATTTCTTATTTTTATTTTTGGCATCAGTTCATTTTGATTCGCTTTTTCTTCTTGCCTTTTTTCAAGGTACTTTTTTCTAGTAATTACTTTGCAGCCTCTAGCAGTTTTTTTCTTTTTTGGTTTGAAAGCCAATTCTCCTCTTTTGTCTTTAAAAGTAAAGTTTCAAATGACACTTTCTCGTTATCAGACAAACATCGGTTTTCAATTATTATAATTTTTTTTTTGCAATTATTCGGTTGAATTTGCAAGGGTCACCCATGATATCGATCCTTGAATACAATGAGAGTGTAAATTGTTATCATTGTCAACTTTTGCATTCCTTCTATCTATCATGATTTCTCTTGCTTGCCCATTATTTGTATTTTGGGGTACTACTTGCAGACTCAAGTGTTTCAGTAATGAAATTTATTTCTTTGAAAACGCAAACCGGGTGGACGAGTAAGGGAAAAGCGAGGGTAGCACAGGACAGATACTTGTCAAAGAAATAGAGCAGACTGCTCACTTGTTACCATTAATTTCACATTTAAAATTTGACACTGCCTGTTCACACGCACTAAGCACTTGTCATTATTCAGTTGCTTTTGCCACTTCTCACATTGTAAATCGGGCTTAAGGTATTCTGTCTGATCGATTTACATCCCTACTCACACCCACTAATGCGGTTCTTTGTTACTTATAAAATACATTAAATAACCAACACCCATTAGTGACGCAAAATGGTGACGATTATAGTAGATTATCTGGGTTGCCATTTAGTGTTAAATTTATTTTGAGTAACACACACCAAATAATTACATTAAAGTTAAAAAAGCCTAACGAATCAAGAGCACATGCAACAATTGGGTGTTACGTAATTTTTACATTTAATAAAGTTACCACAGAAGGGCTATTAGTTGTTCTCAAACTGTACTAGATATGCTGACCACATTTGTTCATAACAATATATTATGTTACAAAGGTAGTTTGTGTAATTATCACAAACATATTGTTACGAGCTTGGGGTTCGTTACAATAAAAACTGCCGATTTAATTACCAAAGTTGACACTTTAATTACAGAACACCAATTACAACTTAAAACACACTACTAATAAAACACAATTGTACTACTAATCACTTTAGTTCGCAGTTGTATCGCTTCGAAATAATCGCGTGTATATCTACAGTTAAATACTGACTCCGGTCGCGGTTAATACCGGCCTTATATAAGGCCTCTTCTAATGAAACATCTAGAATGTTCGAGTACATCCCAGTCCCGACTGACTAGGTGTAAAAAGTTCAAGCATGGAAATTTTTAGAAAGATCTTGACTAACCTAGTTCTGCTACTCGATACGAG